GTCTGTGTGTGGTGGCTCTTGATGCCTTGACCCCAGCCTCAGTCCATTCCTTGTGAAGTTCATTCAAATTCTTGAATCGATTTTGCTTGACAATTCTCATAAGGCGGTGGTTCTCCCGGTTGGTTGTGCATCTTTTTCTTCCACACTTTTCCTTGCACTCAACTTTCTGTTAACATGCTTGGATACAGCACTCTGTGAACAGCCAGCTTCTTTGGCAATGAATGTTTGTGGCTTACCCTCCTTGTGAAGGGTGTCAATGATTGTCTTCTGGACAACTGTCAGATCAGCAGTCTTCCCCATGATTGTGTAGCCTAGTGAACCAAACTGAGAGACCATTTTGAAGGCTCAGGAAAACTTTGCAGGTGTTTTGAGTTGATTAACTGATTGGCATGTCACCATATTCTAATTTGTTGAGATAGTGAATTGGTGGGTTTTTGTAAATGTGAGCTAAAATCATCACAATTAAAAGAACCAAAAACTTAAACTACTTCAGTCTGTGTGCATTGAATTTATTTAATACACGAGTTTCACAATTTGAGTTGAATTACTGAAATAAATGAACTTTTCCATAACATTCTAATTTATTGAGATGCACCTGTAAGTATTAACCAGCCAGATTTTAAATCAGATATTGTACATAAAATGCCTGAAGACATTACCCTCACATCTCACCCAGTACTTCCATCCACCAGACTCATTCGGAGAACTTTCCATCACATATATCACATATATCTCCCTACTTTTCAAATAAAATTATCACTCTGATCAATTCACCTTAGGGATGTGTCTTTATCTTTGTTATTATTCATCTCATATACGAATTCCTGTTCAAGTTCTTTTAAAAATAGATATATTATAAAGTATGCAGATGATACTGCTCTAGTGAGCCTCATATTATGGGGAGGAAGAACACAGGCCTGTTTTGGATTTCTTTTTAAACTGGTGTGAGAACTCAAATCTCCTCTCAAATATCTCCAAAACTAAAGAGATGATTATTGATTTTAGAGAGAGAGAGAGAGAGAGAGAGAGAGAGAGAGAGCAGAATATATCCCATCCTACATTAATGAATGGGGAGCACATACAATTAGTAACAAATTGTAAACACCTCAGTATAATGTTGGACCATAAACTTAGATGGGATGCATGGACTGATTATGTAAGCAAGAAGATACAACAGAGAATGTATTTCATAAAGACATACCTTTCTTTTAATGCCCATAGCAGAATGCCTTTGATGTTTTATAGGGCTTTAATTGAAAGTGTTATGATATTCTGTGTGATTTGCTGGTATGGCAATGCTTCCAATGTTCAGAGGTCATCAGTGGGGAAGGTGGTAACAATAGCACGTAAACGGTTAGATATACAGTTACGGACTATAGAGAGTATATATAAAGAAAGAGTGTTGAGTAAATACTAACATTATTGTGAATAATAAGAGGCATCCTTTATCTTACGCTTTTGAAATATTGCCATCTGGCTAATGATATTGTGTTCGCTGATGCATGAAAAACAGGCCCAAACTATTATGCCCCAAGCAATTCAATTCTTAAATTCTTCTTCCTCTAGTGTTAATTAATGGTTAGCTGGTCTGGTTATTTATATTTAGACTTATTTATATTAAATGATTGTTTATGCCAACTGTGATTGTTAAATACAGTATCTGTGTGAGTATGCTGCATAGGTACATTATAAATGCATTTTAATAAAACTGAAAATAACATCTCCCTCAGTCTGTAAACACCAGAGGTATTTCCTGAAGATTTTTAACTGTGATGTTTTTCTCAGCAGCAGTCAGGAGTATTCCTGAGAGATACATTATCTTCACTGTGTATTAAAACTGGCCACACTCTTGTAAGGGGGGATTCAGTACAGTGGTTCGGACTGCAGGTATGCTGACTGACTGAAGAAACTTTATCAGTGGGATGGTATAAAACTGTACATTTCTTGTCTATTACCACCCACTGCTACTTATACCAACAATGGAAATAAGTGCAGTAAAAATAGCAAAACAGGTGGGAGAGCGTTACTGTATTGTATTGCATTGATTTTAGAGAGAGAGAGAGAGAGAGAGAGAGAGAGAGAGAGCAGAATATATCCCATCCTACATTAATGAATGGGGAGCACATACAATTAATAACAAATTGTAAACACCTCAGTATAATGTTGGACCATAAACTTAGATGGGATGCATGGACTGATTATGTAAGCAAGAAGATACAACAGAGAATGTATTTCATAAAGACATACCTTTCTTTTAATGCCCATAGCAGAATGCCTTTGATGTTTTATAGGGCTTTAATTGAAAGTGTTATGATATTCTGTGTGATTTGCTGGTATGGCAATGCTTCCAATGTTCAGAGGTCATCAGTGGGGAAGGTGGTAACAATAGCACGTAAACGGTTAGATATACAGTTACGGACTATAGAGAGTATATATAAAGAAAGAGTGTTGAGTAAAGGCTAACATTATTGTGAATAATAAGAGGCATCCTTTATCTTATGCTTTTGAAATATTGCCATCTGGCTAATGATATTGTGTTCGCTGATGCATGAAAAACAGGCCCAAACTATTATGCCCCAAGCAATTAAATTCTTAAATTCTTCTTCCTCTAGTGTTAATTGATGGTTAGCTGGTCTGGTTATTTATATTTAGACTTATTTATATTAAATTATTGTTTATGCCAACTGTGAAAATACAGTATCTGTGTGAGTATGCTGCATAGGTACATTATAAATACATTTAAATAAAACTGAACAGAACAACTACCTCAGTCTGTAAACACCAGTGTTATTTCCTGAAGATTTTTAACTGTGATGTTTTTCTCAGCAGCAGTCAGGAGTATTCCTGAGAGATACATTATCTTCACTGTGTATTAAAACTGTACATTTCTTGTCTATTACCACCCCCTGCTACTTATACCAACAATGGAAATAAGTGCAGTTAAAATAGCAAAATATGTGGGAGAGCGTCGCTATTGTGTCACTATATTGTATTTGTCACGAATCCTGTCCATGGACTTCCGTTCGATCACCACCAGAGGTCACCCTTCCATTACATTGACTCTCGCACTACACAAACTGTTGCATGTCATCCCGGACTACATAACCCATCATCCATTGCACTGATTCCACACAGCTGTAACCAATCACACATTAACTATATAACACTCACTCAGATCACTTTCAAACTGCTGATTATTGTATGCGCATATCACTTGTTGTGATAGCTACGTTATGGAGCCTGCTTTAAGTTTCTTAGTCTTAGTCTTAGCCTTGCCTTGTCTGTTTCCTCGTCTTCTGATCATTGCCTTTGGATTACCTCTCTCGTCTTGCCCTGTTTGGATACTGTTTGCCCCTGCCTGGACCTTTGCTTTGTACCTGGATTATCTTTCTAGTCTGGCCCTGTTGGATTACGTTTGTCGTCGACTGACCCTCACTTGTTTACCGGACTACCCATGCCTTGTCTTCTACATACCAGTTTGCCAATGTCTGACCTATGCCTGTTTATGACCACGTCTTAATAAAAGCTTTGCACATGGATCCGCACGTCTCATGTTCTGGTTACTCCATAACAGTATTGCAATAGGCAACACTTTAATCATAATGTTGAATCTAAACTATAGCTAGCACATAAGTTGTGCTATTTAAAAAAAATATATATTTAATAACAGTATTTCATTATGGTTACACTTGAATTGGTTATAAAATAGATGAAGTTAAACATAGTTAATTGTACCCAGCATGTATATCAAATCTCTCTCTAAGGGAGAATAAATACCAAATGTGAGACATTCCAAATGGCTCTTTTGTTATAGAAGATAGGTTTGGGACAGGAAAGGCAAAAGTCTTTGTTGATTTTCAACTTTACACTCTCAAACATGCTCTTAAACAATTTCTGTGCAAATCAACTTGAAAGATTGTATTAATGACACCAAATACAGTTGTCCAGTATCAATCTAGAATGGAACAGTGCTAAAAGATTTGAGTACATGTAGCGATTTGTTCTCCACATTCTCTTCAGTGTGACTTAATTTAAACGTAGCAACAATTTGGGGTGTTAAAGGAAAAACAAATGATTAGCCACTTTCCAGTTATATTTCGCAGTTACACTATAGGTATTTTTTTCTGTTTCTACATGTATCTCAGTCAAGGTCTCATCAGAAATCATTGACTCCCATTTGGACTTGATATGATTTGTATTCTCTCTGTGTATTCACAGTCATACCATCTAAAGCTCTATATATGCTGCTAATCGGTGAAAGGATCTTTTACCAGTCTGCACATTAACCAGAATAAACTCAATTGATGACAGACTGGCTTTTAACTTTTTTTCCCAATTTGGATGTTTAAAGAGGAAGCTACGAATCTGGAGATATCTGTAAAAGTC